ACCCCCCCCCCCCCCCTCCCTCGTGTGGACGTTGCACATAGTTTGCGATACTCGGCAGCGATCGGTTTGTTCCTTTCCATGCCCCGGTGCTCAACAGAACACACCACAGAGCTATTAATAGAGCAACGATGACTTCCTGTGTTTCTCACGATGGGCCTGTTTCAAACTCGATACGCCTTCCTCTTTTCTTCATGACAGACAAACAGACACGTGAGGCGATTTCTTCCTCCCGCCCGCCCTCGGATACAAAACTTTTGCTGCGCCGCATCGCACCGCATTCGCATGTCCATCGTGTGGAGCAACGACGATAAGGGCAACAACACACGCACACACCCACACGTGAAACGACCGACCCCACCTGTACCCTCAACCAACACACAGTGGCGCGTGGAAGAGCGGGACGATTGGAGGGCCCTGCTGGACAGCATGCAGGCGGACCGGACGGCGCTGCAGCGACAGAACGACAGGCTGGAGGTACTTGCTTATAGCTTGCTTGATTGCTTGAGCCCTTGCTTGATTGAGCATTTCTGCTGTCTGCAGTCTGCAACTGTTTTTTTTTTTTGGCGGGGGCGGGGCGCGGGGCTTGCTTTTGAGCCCTGGGTGGTGAACTAAAAGTGTTGGAGTAGCCACTGGTCGTGCCCATCCGCTTGACGTACGGTAACTGTATCTCGTTTGCGACGGATGTCTGACACTCGACACTCGAGCATCTTGGACATGGAGGGAGAGCTGCAACGGTACAAACACCAAACACCAAACAAGGCGGCTGATCAGAGGTGTTGCTGCTCCAGACACACACCTATTAGTGTGGAAATGACCAAACCGTTTACGCTGCGACGGCAGCTTCGTTTCGTACCATGTATGCATACTTCGCACGGACAGGAGGGAGATGCTCAGATTGTCATGCGACAAGACTCAGAAGGTGTCGTTCGATCGCATTGGTAACTTACATCGCTTGAAGGAATGCCGTTTATCTGCAAGGAGTACAAAACGACTCCGTGTATTTCTAGAAGGCGGTCCAAACTGGGTCGTGTGTAGCACCGAGGAAGACCGGGATTGGGCATGGGGTATGACGTCACGTTCGCTCTCTCGTCCCTCACCCGTACCGTGTCTCTCCCAACTACTCGATCTTTTATCTGTCACGCAGAAATGAGTAGGAGCTCCTGTGCCATGTACTGGATTAATTTTCCTCTTCCAACGACAACATCGTGGCACAACATTGTTCGTCGACCGTTTCCACCGCCTTGTACCAACGAGTTACACCACGTACCCCCCCCCCCCACCAATCGGCAGGGAGAGCTTACGCGCTGCATCACCGCGCTCCTGTCCATCTTCCCTTCCTCAAGCCCCTTTCCGCGCTCCGGACGGGCGAAAGGGGGAGACGCAAACGGGACCGCGGCAGGGGGGGGAGACAAGAAAGGAACGGACGACGGGGACCACCCCCCGGAGTTAACCCACCGCAACATTTCGTCCGGCAGCGACGGCCGTCGGCCTGTCAGCAGCCGCGGGATAGCCGCGGTGGACCTGGAGTGGGTGGGCTCTCTGGCGGAGGAGTTCAACGTGGTCTTGGAGGGCGTTGTTGCCGAGGGTGACGACGGCGACGCCGGCAAGGGGGTGGGGGACGGCGGCGGGGAAGGAGGAGGAGGAGGAGGGGGGGGGGGGGGGCAACCACCAGGGTTGGGGGGGGGGGGGGGGGCACCCCCCGGGGGAACCTTTTTTTTTTTTTCGGGAAAATTTTTTTTTGGGGGGGGGGGGCCCGGGGAATTTTTATTTTTGGGGGGGGTGGGGGGGGGGCGCAAAAAGGGGGGGGGGGGGGGG